TCTAGTAAACATATTCAATAAAATATTCTGAAATCTGCTCATGGTATTGTTTTTCTTAAAAAAACACTTTTATCAACACTCTAAAATATATGAAATAATTATATATTACCATTGTAGACTTCATAAATATTTAATAAAACTTAAACATTTAAATTTTACTTACTTTTTTATGACATGTCTTAATATACCTTTTTAGTGAATCATTCCTAGATGATGCTTTTTTAGCGAATCATTCCTTAAAAAAATCTTTCTAAAAATAAGAAATTTAAATCCTAAAAAAATAAAAATTATATTCAAACAGAAGTAGACAATTTAATAAGTAGTACGTTGAACATAAAACAAAAAGAAAATCTCATGATAACTTAATAGTTAATCATGCTGAACCTAAACAATTGAAAAACTTATTAGATTTATATCAAACAGAAGGAAATAGATTATTCAAAACATTTTTTGTATGCTAAAGACTATTTTCATTCTAGAACACGATTGATGATAGTTAAAAATGTCGTGAAAAATGTAACTTTTAAGTCGATTTCATTGACGGAAATGGATATTCAAAAAATGTAAAAAATTCTAAAAATTAGTTTGAAACAATCATTAACTCAGGAACTCATGGTACGTCACTTGAAATAAAAAGTTTTGTTGATATACTAAATCTACACATTACAATTAATGTTTAGAATTCTATGTACGTGTTATGTTTTGGTGATTCGTTAAATAATTTAAAACTGAATATTCAACTCTCAGGAACTGTGGATTCAGGTATATTTAAGTTATTGTGTTATCAAAATAGTAGTATTGGAAGAAAATTATAAATTCTCATACATATTGAATCTAAAAAAAAAATAAAAAATTAAATTTAAAAGCAAAATAATACATTTTATAATGAAAATTAAAATCAAATTTAAAATAGTACTCTAAATGAAAATAATGATTTATAAGTAAATCATGCGTTTTATGATAAAATGAGTAATAAAGTCTGTGTATTGTTTAGCAGTATTTTGGCCAGTAGAAAAAAAAGTCAACGTGTTGTCATAAAGGAGAAGTTCGTATTAGTTCGTTGAGTGAATGTTATTTAGAATTAAAAGAACTTTTACTTCATGATAAAGATTTTAGGATACTTATCAGGATCTACAATAATGTGTTCAGTTTTGCAGTTTTTACCTCGGCTCAAAGTCGGCAAGACCGTTTTTCATCTGACACTAGTCTTTCTTAATGATCTTAATAACAATGTGTCAGAATTATTTGTTTTACATATTGAGCTGAATGTAAAAAAATGAATGCATTTACAACTTCTGAATTTTTGCCCATCACTGGGAATATATTACGTTTGAGCCATAAAAGAAAATTTTTTCCACTAGATCTTTTTTTAGAAATTCTTCAAGTCATTTTAAACCACTTACAGCAGATTCACCCATATGTATGTGTGTTTCTACAGACATAATTGGTACAATTAATGTCATATAATGTTTCGCTGCTACATATATGAGGCAGCTTCGCTTCTGTCAGGGGTCCCGAGACTACTTACGCTTTTTCCTGTAAGAGATTTAGGATGAAGTACTGATTATCTTAAAAATTACTTAAATAAGAGTGATAAACTAACTATGTAACAACATTATTTTCACAGACTGTATTACAGACCAAAAAAAACTTATTTTTATCTATTATTGTATGGAGACGGCTGACACGATTAGTTTTTTGTTTATTCTTAAATCATAATTGAATATAACCATTTTAATTATTTAAGACATTATCAAAAAAATCTTTTTATACTTACATCTACATACATCAGAAGTCCAAAATATATGCAAAAACATTATCAAGATGCAATGTCCATAATAAGAAATCGTGGTAAACCAGATTTATTTTTAACAGTAACGTGTAATCCTAAATGTTGAGAATTAAAGTTAATTTCATCAAAGTTTCCTACAAATACGACACCAAATAATATTCCAAACATGACTGTAATATTTCACTTGAAAATAATGTCAGTTTTGGATGACATCATTAAAAACAATTGATTCGGTAAAATCTGAGCATCATACGTTTATACCATCAATATCTAAACACCCCCCCCCTTTCTTAAGTAAGATTGTGTCTATATTTATTGTAAAAAGCATAAAATACTCACTTGTTCTTTTTATTTATTATCAAACATTTTTTATACGATTTCAAGGTACAGAAAAATTATTATTTGGCATAAATCACAGACATTTGCTTAAAAGATATATGATTATTTTTTCTTTAGACAATTTGTAATAACTTAAGGTAAGATGAGGTAATTTTGAACAAAGTTACAAACATCCTAATATCTATAAAAAAAACCACAAATTAATGGCGCAGTAAGCCACTAGATGTAAGAAACAAATAAAAAGTACGAAGCTCATTAAACCTAGATAAACTTTGGATACTATAATTTTATTCGTCGGCTGGGCTAAAAGGGTTAGCTAGCCATGTTGCCCAGTCAGAGACAATCGGCAGTTCATCAGACGTATCAGCAGCAAATGCTACTTCATCTAGCACGTC